TGAAGTAAGAGGATAAGCACAATTGCATTTTCACTTAGCAACTGCTTCACTTAACGACCAAGTTGCTGGTCTCAATTGTGGTCAATAAACATTATAGCATGAAGATGGACCATTTTGCCTTTAGCCCAGGCAGCAAAATATCATAAGCCAGCTTCTGCTACACTCTCCCTTCCTTATGACTTGTGCTAGGTTTTAGTGTATTTACCAAATAGTGATAGCAAACTTGGATACAGATATTATTTCCACTTTTATACTTTTTGTTGGCAAGCTAAAGGTAGATCGACTGGTTTTTAGTACTGTACACTCTATACAGCACAATATGGGATAGTTTATGTACCTCACTTACATGACTCTAAAAACAGTGGTACATCAGCTTAAGATCTGCCACTTCTCTGGGAAAGAGAAGGGGCATTGCCAATATTTTAAAGAAAGCAGCAACTCCTTAGAGTGAAAGAAATAAGCATAGCAATATTGTTCACTTTACTAGGGCTACCAAATCTGGAATGCCAAAATCTGGATGTCCACCAGATGGCAGCAAAGTGATATAGAAACTATTAACCCTTTGCTGATATCTTGTGGTCATCAGAATTTTTGTAGCCCTTATACAGTTGCCCTTAATTTATTTTTACGCTATTCAATTATTCATAAAGGCCTTTCTTGGCAATGTGGTACCGTGCAGGAAATTTAAGGAAATATGCATGTAGGTACTTTTAAAAAAAAACAAACACTTTTTCATTTATGTTTAACAGCTGTTCATAAACTTAAACTCATCTCCAAAAACGAGCAGAGTCCAATACCGCTTGTTCACCACAGAAACACAAATTGCTGGAGAGATTGATTCTTCCTGCAGAACAGATTTGGGAGAACACAAGGAGGGCAAATGGGGAAGGAGAAAAGTCTCATTGTGCAAGCAAATAGCCTCCTGTTGGGCCACTAAAAATCAAGCCCAAATTAAAACAAACAAAACAAAACACTTCAAGTTTCCATCTAGGACTGAAGTGAAATAATATATGAAGAAACAAATGATATATTATTAGTATAATTAGATACATGTTTGTTTGGTGATTAAGATGACATTTCCTCGGCTGGTACACTTATTCCTAAAGGAACTGCACATTTCCACAGTCTTCTTCCCCTAGTCCTATTCAGAAATGCAAGTGTTGTGGTTTAAATAACTACTTCACAGCATAGTGGACACTCAGTGACCTTTCCAACAATAAACTAGAGTAAAAAAGTCAAAGGAGTGTTGCCACGAATATCAGCATGTAAGAAAATCATTAACCTTTGCCTGTCTGGTGCTTTTGCCCCTAAATTACAGGATGCATTCAAACTACAGTATTAAATACGCAGCTGGTGGTGGTTAGTTGCTAGATGCTGATGTTACTCTCTGATCTGAGATACATTTCTCTGATCATGTGACACACCCTTTACATTCTTATACTGCCTCGATGGCCAGCTCCCCAAATGTCGCTGCCTACAGCAAAACAGCAAATAACACACACACACCCCATCTAAAGTCAAGGTATACGATATCCAAAGTTGGTTAAATTATTTTGGCTCCTCAGTCAAAAAAAGACCTCAGGGACTCCTCACCTGGCTGTATAAAGAGCAGCAACCACAACAATTGATTTGCAGCTCTTTCCACTCACCCAGAATCAGCTCCCTCAGGCAGTCATATCATTCTGCCTAAGAGCCAGGCTGGCTTTGGCCAGCTTTCTGGCTGCTCTTAGATGCCATCCTGCCTAAAGAGGGTCAGTTTGATGTAGTGATTAAGGTCCTGGGCTAGAAACCAGGAAACAGCGAGTTCTAGTGCTCCCTTAGGCATGGAAGCCGACTGGGTGACTTTGGGCCAGTCCAGGCACCTTCTCTCCCAGCCCAACCCACCACATTGGGTTGTTGTTGTTGTGGGGAAAATAGGAGGCGGGACCATTATGCAGGCAGGATATAAATCTAATAGCAATAATAGTAAACTCCTTTCCCTTACCTTCAAACCTCTCCAGGGCCTTGCTTCTTCCTCCCTCCCTCTTCATTCTTAAATCCCAACAAGTGCATTCTCTTAATCTTTATTTCTTCACCTCCACCTTCTGAAGGTCATCTTCTCTAAATACTCTGCTCTTTCTCCCTTGTAGTACTGCATGTTTAGAGCTGCCTTAAAGCACACCTGTGTCATGCCACCTCTCCTCCTTTCTTTAAATCACCCATGTCAGACTTCATGCCGGGTATAGCAATAAATCTTAACTCTCCAGATACGTAACCCCATGTTCAGGAACTCGGTTACAGCAACAGCTCACAGATAAAAGACAGCTAGATAAGCTGTATGTTTCAGACAAGGTGGAAGCCATGTATATGCAGCAGAACAACCTACTGCAAAATGCAGAAATCAAGACCTCTTTATATGTTCTCTGCAGGGTTTGAATTCTAGGCCTTTTCAAGTCAGCAGGAATTTAGCTTTTCTTTTCCCAGCCTTGCGTATGGAGATGTCAACTCAGTATTTACTTAATGGTTCTGTCCAGGGAGAGGACCTCTGGCTCCCTTACCAGATTCAGCCCTTACAGCCCATAATTGTTTCCTGGAAAGCTGCCACTCCATCTTCTTATGGGGATAATGTTACAGAGTTTCATCCTGAGGTAGCACTGAAGTTTCTCAACAATGAAGATGTTTGCTGGCCTCCGTATGGAAGTTTTCTAGATTGTATTAATTAAAATATGGCTCAAGCAATAATGGAATGCAGTCAAATTGGTTAATAGTGTTTTTCCATGGGAGGAAAAATCCTCTGGGAAAGGATATTTTTATCATAATTCTTTCAGTAAGTCATGAATTAATCAATATACTATTATATTATCAAATATTTACTCTGAGCTTGTCACTAAGCCATAATGTAGTTGCTTCATTTTGACTTCAGTCAATCAGGGGTGCCCACAAAGGGGCCCAGAAGAGTCAAGATGGTGACTGTAACTGCGGGATTGAAGCCCCATCCCTTTTTTTACATGCATCATATGTGTGACATCATCTTGAATTTTTTGACCCATCCCTGCAGATACCCCTGGGCCACGCAGAACAAAGAAGTAGTGGAAAATCTGTAATGCAATAAGATGTAAGTCCAACCAGTGGTTTGTGTTTCCACATACAACGATACAGCTCCAGGAGCATTTATGCAGTATAAAATGCAAGTAATCCAAAAATATTACACATTTCAGAAAGGGTGGGATTCTGCAGGATCACAGCTGCCATTTTGACACTCCCCCATGGACATCCCTGCAATCATTTGTAGTAATTAATTAAACTATGGTTTAATGGTATATAAAACTATAGCTTATGTGAGATGTGAATCAAACAAGATTTTGTTAAATAAATATGTTTTCTCCTGATTTTTAAAATCATGTTTCTCTTGAATTAATTTCATCCTTTTAAGATGAAATTATTTTATATCCATCTCATTAGAGGTTAATGAATCTTGGCATATTTTGGTGGTGTACCAGTCTGTAATTATTTCTAACTTTGCATTTACAGTATGGATTTTAATTTTTTATTAGATATTAATTTCATTTACTAATAACATTTTTAAAATGATGAATTTTTCTGAACTCCAGCCAGAATCATGTTCTCCCCTAATATGTGTGTACATGTACTGCATGTGAGAGAACGAGAAAGAAGAACTTATGAGATGTGTTGTTTGGACTTCAGTTCTCAAAATTCCAGCTAGTGTCCTTATTAACAAAAACTTTTCAAGCAGAATTTTTCCATATTAATTAGTCTGCTGCTTCTTTTCCATATTTTGACCAATAAGTACTAAGGCACTGGAGTAACTGACAAGCACTTTGTACTCTTAACGATATACAACATTTTATTAAAATGGTTTAATATATTAACTTAATCCTGTGCCTGTCTACTGCAAAGTAGAGCTCAACCTGTTAACAAGAACTTTTTTTATTTTAAATATTTATATATCATGTGTCATGCAAGGCATTACTAGATAATATACATCTTGAGATTTCTCTCAAGTAAGTGCACATATAAGGATTGTAACTCTAGTTCATCTGAATTTTTATTCTTTTAAAATTGATGACTACATTCTCTCCTCTCCAGTAAATGATGCCTCCTTCTCTCACAACATTTCTAGCTCTATGGGGTGGAATGCAACTGAACAAAAAGGTTGCTATTTCAGGTGTGTACCCAGCCATACAATAATCTCCAGGTCAATTATTTCAGTGATGCAGTGACTCTTGTCTGGTCTGAGAGCCAACTGAATCCTGTTGTAATCTGATGATTTACTGCAATTAAGACTCTGAAAATATTTATAGTCAGCCCCAGATTCGCAGAACCAGCCCTTCTCATTTGAACCAAATGTATATTCATTGCCCAGGATAGAATAATAAGACACACCATGTCCAATAAAATGTAAAAGGGTGGATATGTTATGCTGGATTGTCCTGGCTTTTTATGAAAACTTGTGTCAAAGAAAGATTCTAGGATGAGGAAAACAGCCATAGTTTTCTTTGAAAGTGCTTTGCAAGAATGCTGGATTAGGCATAACACAATGTGGAATTCAACGTTATTTCCACACCTTTTATGCATTGTGATATTCCATTTCATTCCGATAAAGCAAACAATTTTCCAGGTTTCATGATTACAAAACAAAGCTTGAAATATTCTTCCAGAGATAAGAAATATATCAATGTAAAAAAAAAAAAAAAGCCATAGCCCACATCAAAATTTCTACACTGATTCTTGGCTTCAGCTCTGAACAGTTGACATCTCAGCTCTTTGTGATGATCCATGAGTTAATTAATGCTTAATCACCAAATGAATAAGCTAGCAAAAGGCACTGACTATGTGCTAGTGGAATTTCTTCAAACAATCACATGTACAACCATTGCTCTTCTAAGAAAGCAGTGACCATCATAATGGCAAAGTATCCTCTATTGGCTACATTCGTTGTACTCTGAGGGTAAAATTGCCCTCCCCTGGAAGATACTAAATTAAAGAGGAGATACTCCCACCTGAAGCCTTGATGAAGAACTGGCTGTCACTGAGCTCACTGACAATTCCTGCTTCTTGTGGCACAAAGACACCCATGCCAAGGATATGTCCTCATGATAGAGCCTCCGTCTCATCTCCAGCCTGCTAAGAACTTCATCAGAGTGGGTCCAAAGAGCTCCTCCAGCAAAGTATCAAGGCTGGCCAAAGTAGCGGTAGAACAAATTAGGGATCCTAAGTTGTCAGAAAGAAAAGCTCAAAAAATATTACACCTGACCTGCATAAGAGGGACAGCAGATGAGTACTCCAACCCTGCTGAATAAACAGATGTATGACCTTATTGGAGGGGGGCTCTCCTTCTTATAAGACAAACAGTAGCTTGAAAGAAAGCGGTTTTAAGGGATAAACCCTGCAGAAAGAAGAAAAAGGGAAGGGGAAACAGGTAGTTTCTATTTAACAGAGTGCTATGAGAATCATTCACAATAATGCTAGCAAGATTGATTTATGACAGCACTCAAACTGTTTCATGTTCAAGACAAAGGTTGGTGGCTGGTTTTCCCACAAGTAGGTGGCACTGGGTAGAAAGAAAAGGATGGCTGGGAACCTACCAATTCCTGATCTGAAAGTAACCTGCTTTAAAGTCTCTAGCAGTTCCTCACAACCAAGAAGGCTAGATTCTCACTGAGTCTTATTAGCCAGATTTATTGAAAGGAAAAAAAAGGGGTTAGATTACAGAATCTTGGAAAGTGAATGTGTACTTTAACACGTCATTTATGTTATTAGGTACAGATTCTTTGATCCTTTTGTTAACTGTCTCTTCCCCAGTAACGGAAGAATGTGCAGATACTCTGGTCTACTAATATTTTGCAAACCACCATCCTCTTTCCCAGACTCTGAGAAGTGTGTTACACCTGCATTATAAGAATGGGAGGCAAGCACACTACCACTGTTATATGGTTGAGTCCTGAATAGATAAGGGGTAAGGCAACATGCAATTTCCTATAGGGTTTAGACTAGGGATACTTTCATATACCCACCATTATCATTTCCCAAATCCCCAGAAAGATTCTTGTAACAACCTGCAATTGTCCTACCTGCACCTTCCATCTGCTCCAGACTAGCCAACCACCTCTCTCTCTAGAAGAGCAACGAGGGAGCACAAAATCAATATCCAGGCGGTATTCCCCGGAGGAATTGGGACATATTGGGAATTGGGAGCTTTGGCATGGGTGTAGCATGGGTGTATGTGTGTAGCAGTTTTGTCTTTTTATTAAGCCTCAATACAATTTTGGTTGTTTTGTTTGTTTGTTTTAGTTAAATTCCTTGTTTTGTTCCCTACCCAGAGTTTCTTGAATAGATGAGTGACTATATTTATTGAATTGGATTAATAAATAAATCCTCTCCATATTCTTCCTTTACTGCATTTTGAAAAATAATAAATAAATAAATAAAAAGCCAGTCGTATGCCCTTCTCTTCTACTGAGGTGAGAACAAAATGGTGTTATAATGAACATCATGGTTTTACAACTGCATGATAGAAGGAGAGCTAAGGAGTTAGGAAGCATCATTCCTATCTATGAGAACTGTCCCACCAAACTCCATGAAGCTCCAGCCCTGAAAAAATGAAGCTTTGCCATTTGATCTGCAGCTGAGCTAGAAATAAATTTGCTCAGTTGCCCAACACTGATGATGCCATGGAATCAGAGGGATGAAATACTAGTCCAGAAGTAAAATCAAAGCTCTTTGGGGTCATTCACATGTCCTACTTGCTTAACACGAAGATGTCCTTCTGTGTGTGGAGGACATGAATGCACAATGGCATCCTCAAGCCTCCCCAGTCTCCACCATTTTTTTCTTGCTCCACTTCCAAGTGCCATTTTTCAGCTG